TAGTCAAACAATAAACAGAAAAGAGCGCGAAATTTATTTTTCTTCCAATCAAAAATAACTAACAATAAAGCTATTTGAAATGTTATTTGTATTGAAAAAATCGTTTAATCTGATAACTGGATATGTATATAAAACAAGAAAAGCAAGTAGTAAGAACGCGAATATTTGGGCACCGTATTCGAAATATATAGAAAATATACGACATCTGAGAAAAAAAGAGAAACCATGCAACAGATCATTCGATATCATCGTAAGACTGTGCATTTGGTGATATCAATTCCTGTTTTATTCGATGTAGTTTTTTCATCTTACTTTCACTCAAGCCGGTTGGTGATGACGCTGAGGGGCGTTTGTTTTGTTTCTGTTGCTGTTGTTGATTACCAACTGTTGATAGAACAGCAGCAATTGTTGTTGGATCAAAACCAGTTAATAATTGTTGAAAAGTTGTCAATGGAAGTGATTGCTGTTGCTGATATTGATTTGTTTGTTGTGCTGTCGTTGCACGAATTAAAATTTGTAAAATTTGCAGCTGATATTGACGATCTTGTTCTCGACGCTTTTTCTCTAATTCAGATTGATCTTTTAAAAACTGATACCATCGATTCTAACAAAAAAAAAAACGACACATTTAGAGGTGATGATACAACTTTCTCAGCTCTTTTCAAAGCCCTCGACATGTTATTGAATGAATAAATGTCATCTCTCATTTATTTACTACCTCAGACTTATTTTTGTAATCAATAAGCTTTTCTATTGCTAGTGCTAAACTATCGTTGTAATATGATGATGAAGATTTATTTGTATTTGTTGTTGATTTTGGTTTGTTATTCATATGTAGTGGTAATGGTGGTAATATTTGATGATTACTTTCATTATCCTCTTCTTCTTGTTCAAATAATGATTCATCTTCATGTGAGTTGTCATTCTCTTTTGTTTCAGAAAAATTCGTCTTTGTTTTTACATCATCATCACCGTCGTCTTCTGTGATATTCGAACAATAATTATTATTTTCTACTTGCTGTTGTTCATCTTCATTATCATGATTTTGTTCGTATTCATTATTAATCGTATTATCATCTGTGAATGATGTATTACCGAGAATCGTGTCGATTTCTTCATAAAACGGACATGTTCGTTGATTATTATCACCACGATTGATTGTTTCTTTTGCTTGCCGATACAGTTTCTTTAATAATCTGAATGTTGAAAATATTCGATGAGATTATTAGCAGTGATGGCAGTAGCGGCCTATAGCAGGACCAAAAAGTGAACATATAATGAGTAAAATATCACCTACTTAATTCGCATCTGGCATTGATCAGCATTTCGATTTATTCCAAGTATTTGTAAACGCTTGGCAATATCTTCATAGACACAACGATTACGACTATTGGATTTTAGTGCATATTGGGTATTTTCATCAGCCCAAATTTGGATAAGAGCATCTGTTTCATTGTAACTCCAGCTAATACCTCGAGGCATTTTTCAAGACTAGAACAAAGAAGGGTGCTAGATCATATTTTCACAGAGATCTAATCTGTTTCAAACTACTGCTGTACGACTTAGTGATACAACAAAAATTAAAAAGTCTTTTTTTGTACAAATACTCTTGTACCTTTAACTCTAATGTCGAAAAATAATATGAATTTGATAGGTAATACGAGGTTAAATGGTTTAATTCTTTCAGATAAAAATAGTACTGAAGTTTCGTCTAGTCCAGTTTGCTCTTATAATTATTATGTATGGAACGGAGTTTTTTTCTTCTATAGTTGACCATGAATTAAGAAGAAAAAAAAAGAAAAAGGAGGTGTATGTACATTGAACGAGAAGTATAGACTATAGACATCTGTCTATTTCATCTTTCTTCCTTGACCACGAAGAAAATCTATACAATATTCGGCATTATATCACCGCAATGACATAAATCTATAATATATCTGAACTGTAAATGTCAAATAAGAATTTTTATGAACATTCAATATACATGTACACATTCTATGTATTTATATTGAACCGTTCTACATATTTTTTCGTTCGTTCATAATGATAGCGTAATTTTTCCATACTTTCATCGATGTAAGACCGCAATCGGACTATGAATTTATTCAGAACGAGTAAAAACAAAAAATATTTGTGATATTGAACAATGAAATCAAGGCTATTTACGATTGTTGACACTACTAACAGACCTGAGCGTTTTTTGAATAGTGAAAAATGGAGACGGTTCACAGGTTTCGCCATTCCATAGATGTCTTTTCATAAAAAAGAAAGTTTAGAAATCTTAGAAAGCTGAATTTTGTGAGTTGAAAATCCAACGGGAAATTTTTTCAACTTAAAAACAGCAACGTATTTCTCTATTCGTAGCTTTGTAAAAAGGTCACTTCCTTTGAAAGACTTCTAGAATCTTTCTTCAAAAACTGCAAAGAAAGTACTTTCTGTTAGTGTTGACACTTTTACTGAACTTCACTGTATACTGGACATGGTTCTATTCATACTTTGACTTCTCAGTATGCATATTTTCAATGTTTCTTTAAGACATATAATAAGACGAATCCTGATATTTTAAACTAATAAGAATCTACTATCCATTTCAAAGTGTAAGAACTGTGGCTGATTTTTGAATAACTTTTGATAGAAAACAGCTAGAGAGCTCCGGTTTTCACCATGCGAAAGAAGAGAATTGAGGACGTGTTTTCACAAGCAAAATAATTTTCAGAATGGTTTTGTGAAACAGGTTTTCTAGGTGATCTTTGAAAAATCAGGTTGTGTGTAAAAGTTCTCCAGTAGGATTATAATTGATTTTTTGTCATGAACTGGTAGCTTAGAATCTCCCCGTCAAAACAGGAGTCAAGTGAGACCTTGATTTCCCGTGGTTCGGGCGGTGTATCGGATTTCCTTCGATCCCCAGGACTGGCCCCCGTTGAGTATTGGTAGCCTTGAAACTGATGGATTATAGGTAAGTGATCATGCTGTACCTCGTGGCAATATTTGTTTCTAATTCTTCTTCTGTATAATTCTACTGGAAAACTTTTACACACAACCTGATTTTTCAAAGACTATCTAGAAAACCTGTTTCACAAAACTATTGTGAAAATGATTTTGCTTGTGAAAACATGTCCCCAAGTCTCTTCTTTCGCATGGGGTATGAATTTTTTAATTTTTCGTGAAAATAGCAAAAAAATTGGTTATCTCAACTATTACACGTTTTTACTAACGTTTTGAAGATTAATCATTTTCACAATACTCCACATGGTCTATGTAAAAACAGAAATACGTATTATTTCAAATCTGTGACATTCGAACAGATTCTCCAAAAATTCTTCTTCTAAGAAGGTTTTTAAACTTTCTTTTGTAAGAAAAAATGTCTACTGATCTTTTCTATCAAATGGCCAAAGTTGTGAACTATCTCTATCTTTTATCGTTCAAAAGCTATTCAGAAACGCTTAGGTCGAATCTAATTTCAGATAAACAATAGTTATACTACTAGTCGCCGTTGATTTAAGAACATATTTTCTCTTGATACGCATGATACAGAGTAGACATACATCTTGGCGACGCCTAGCAAATTATCTACAATAATATTTACTGACGTATCAGTGATTCCTGTCCTTTTTGCCAGAATCGTAGAAGCGTTTCTCAGCTATTATTTCTAGAAAGATTTTGCACTTATTCTGAATTGGTTTAAATAACTCTGTGCACAAATCGTTGGTTTTTTTTGCAGAAAACCAGTCGCATATAGAATAGTTCATGAGAAAGTGATTCATACTAATAACGTTTTTTGAGCTTATGGACAAGATTAAAAATAAAATCTTAAGAATCATTGCAGCTACCATGTTCAGAATATTAATAAAAATAATAAAAAATTAAAAAGATTAAAACTAAGAGTTAAAATAAATTACTTTATAAAATACTTTAACTCTTAGTTTTAATCGTTTTAATTTTTTATTATTTTTATTAATATTCTGAACATGGTAGCCGCAATGGTTCTTAAATTTTGATTCATACTAGTGAACATACTTCTGAAAATTCATAAATATTTTACAACATCAATGATAATAAATACATCACATTTGATAAAATAAATACGAGACGAAATTGTTAGTCTCCGCTCATATAAGCTTGATAACAACAGTTTTTATTTCATAATATTCTTGTAAACCATAGGAACCTAATTCCCTTCCATGACCAGATTGTTTATAACCGCCAAATGGCAACTGGTTGATGACTGCATCGTAATCATTGACCCAAACAGTGCCTACTTGTAACTGTGCAACAAATTTCATTGCGCGTGTTATATCTTTTGTCACAACGCCGGCAGCAAGACCAAATGGCGTATCATTGGCTCGTTTAATTACTTCGTCGTAATCATGATATTTCAAAATACTCATCACAGGACCGAATATCTAATAAAGAGATAAGTAAAATTAGATAATCTATATATACAGAAACCTTTTTGGACGAACCTCGTCGGTAGCAATGTCCATATCGTCTTTGACATTACTAAATACTGTGGGTTGAATAAAAAAACCGTTTTTTCCCACACGTTCACCGCCAAATTCTAATTTTGCTCCCTGCTTCTTCCCCGATTCGATATATTTCATGATTTTTTTAAATTGCTCATTGTTAATCTTGAAATGTAAA